AAGCCCATCGCCTTCGCGAACTGGATACCGAGGTGGCCAAGACCGCTAGAACAGGGAAGGGGTGTCTCAGATGAGCATGACGATGAGGTGAGGGGGAGGAGCGTACCCGATGCCTTGGACGGCCACGAATTGCGGGGGCTTGCAGGTCATGTTGCGGAGAGAGTTGAACGTGGTCACGCCAGCGCACATGAGCGGGGCGACCTCGGCAGGGTCCATCCCATCCGGAAGGGCGACGACGGCCTCCGTGCGCAGAGTAACATACTCTGCGTATCCACCGTGGCGGAAGACACCTGGGTACCACAAAATATGTCAGCCCCGGTATTCGTTCTGTAGCGTGTTTTGCTCACCGTTGATGTCCTCCTTCTGACAGGTGACAAAGTCACCGACTGAACAGCGCTCGCAGGTGTGGCAGTGCCCGCCGTGCCAGCCCCCGCCGACGTGCTGGCCGACCTTCCACTTCTTCTCCGTCGGCGGGATCGCGACGACGTCGCCGACGATCTCGTGCCCGGGCACGATGGGAAACTTGGCACCTGGCAAGACGCCGTACTTGGCGGCTTCGTCACTATCGGCAGGCGTGGGTCAGTACGAAGTCATCCTGTCACGAAATTGAAAATGGAGGGGTCAATCTGTCAGGACACAGAAACCCTTGCGGCGATGATATCTGAGTCGGGGGCATCATGGGACTGCATAGAAGGTTCAAGGGGACACGTTCGGGCAGAGAAGCGGATAGCCGAGGTATTCGGGCGTTCGAGTCATACAGACATACAATGGAAAGACCAGCGCGTCCGAGCTGCCGCAACGTACGTCCAGCTACTGGACGAGGATTCCGGCGTGTCGCGGTCTGCACGCATGCCCAGCGGTGGCAGGAACCTACGCGCCACATAGCGACGCCACAGACGCGTCTTAGCGCGTAAAGCCGCGCATATAGTCAGGTTCCACGGGCGGTGAAGCGGGTGTCAAGACGTAGCTCATGTGTTCCCACCCAACCACACCGAGGAGCAAACGCGCGAAAGCGAGGCTTACCTAGCGCAGACACCGCACGCAATGACCTTGACGATGACCTCGCCAGGCTCGGGGTCGTGCCAGTCGAATGTGATGGGTTTGAGGTCGCCGCCCTTCTCGGTGAACGCGTACGCCTTGTAGCTCTTGGGGTGGGTCATGGTTGTCGACGATGAGAGTGCGGTGTGTGGTTGGATGACGGTTCGAGAGGAGGAAGACGATGTGGGGAGGGGAGAAGGGCGCGCTGTATTTATGCATTCCTGCGACAGGGATGACGCAGCGTCCCCAGTGCCGGGCTGGCAGGCATGGAACGCGATCGAGAACGGGATCTCAGACAGTGGACACTGGGTTCGATCGAAGGCCAGGAAATGCATTTACTTTGCACGACAACGCATCTTATCCCCATCCATCCCATACTTGGGAGCGACCTATCCGCCAATTCAAGGTTCCTTGATTAGACACAAGATAAGCACCACTTGGTGCGACTGGGAGGAGCTCAGAATACCTTGGTTGGTCTGCAACCTTCTTCCCAGGCATGTGCTTCCGCCGCCTACCCTCGGTTCGATTTTTTATGGTCAGCCCGAGTATTGGTAGATGCCCACTGTCCACCCGAGAGCCCGCCCGACTCGCCGAGCAGTAGACTGTATCTGACAAGTGCTAGTGAGCGTCCAAGTGTGAGGGAGCACTGCGATGACGCGGCAGGAGGCGGCCACTCACCCGACACCCCGAATCATTCGGGGAACACTCGGGCATATTGATGCAGATCCTCCTCGGGACTTTCCAGATCAGGCAAGTATGTGGCTGCTCCGCGTTCGCAGATCAGTTGCAGAGGTTGCCGCGTAATACACGTACGTCGTACCGCAGCGGCAGATGCGCAGACCTCATTTCAGCACAAGTAAGCGTCTGTGGGTTTGTAAAGTCCGCATCCTTCCCACCGGAGACTTCACCGAGAGTCGCGTTCCTGTCGATTGCTCCCCGGGACGCGTTCGATTGTCGAGAAGAGTTCGATCGAACAGATGCGGTACGGCGTTCCGCGGGTTGGGTGGGTGCTTGCTGGGGTCTGTAGTTCTTTAGCGAGGATGAGTGGTTCAAAGGCTCAGGCTGCGGCGAGGGGGAAGGATGGCCCCGCGGCGGACATAAAGAGTCGGTGAGGTCGTCCTAGACACGGATCAGGCAGCCCGTTTGAGCAGAATGAATGAGAGTGTAGAGTCCTCGAGGTTGGGCGGCCACGAGTACCCTCCGCCAGTGAATACGCAGCAACAGATGCCAGACCGAAAGAGTGGATTTAGTGAAGACAGATAGGGAAGCCTCCGGATGGCTTCGCATACTATGTCTTCTTCCAGCCCAAGCAGGCGAGGCACCGGACCGCCTACATCATTTACGGCATTATAAGCCTCCACGATATGCACCGTCCACACATACCTGGCTGCTCGACCGCGGGCGCCGTCCTAGCTCTGCGAATACAATCCTCAGCCTTTGCACTCACGTACGTCGAACAACAGTCATTCGACAGACCAGTCGGACTTGCCCGCCCAGAGGTATCAGAAAGATCATACGCCGTTGCATTGCACGTAATACACTGGAACAATGCAAAAGAAATGATCACCAATGCGTTATCCCACATCAGACATCCCCTTTAGCCACTGGCAGTCAGCTGTCACGAATAGCAGCGCCCAACGGGACACAACCGATATGGAGGCGACACACTGACGATCCAGCAATATATGTTATACGTCAGCGTCGGCCCTTCGAGTGGATAGCGGGATGCCGCGATGCGTATCGGAGAACCAGACGGTCGAAGGGGGATTGACGCGGACCGCATGATGTGTCACCAAATTTCCGGTCAAGGTCGCCTGTTCTAGACGGTTAATCCGTTCGCTCGCCCGGAGATGTTGCGGCGGGACCCCCGTCATGACCAGGTGTCGACTCGGAGGGGCTTCTGACCAATTGTCGGTCGTCCTGATCGATAGGCTGGTCAAGTAGGTCGACTATTCTGAATACCTTCATACACAGTACACGCTCTCGGTCTGAGATTATGTGCAGGGACCTGATTGACAGCATCAGCGCATCTGCAGCGATCAGTACAGCAGACATAGCCTACCTCATGTGAGCAACGAGCCATATGGGCATCGAGGCTGAGGCTGACTATAGTGACGTCGCGGCAGACGCGGACCCGGCAGGATCCGGGAGGGTGAAGTACGCCGACAAGACGTACATGAAGTCCTCGTCGGGTATCATCGGCGACTCGTCGAACCGCGCTATCGACTCCCTCGTCAGCGATATCTTCTTCCGCACCGTGTCCGGGTGCATCATCGACCTGCGAAGGAATCACATCCCCAGCCCTCATCAGCTCACGCCCAGAGAACGCGGACTGCCAGGCGACTCACAGATGCTTGATCAGCCCGTCCCTGCTCATCGCCTTCTGGCGCTGGCACAGCGGGCAGAGCCAGATGAAGCCGCGCGCGGCGGTGCGGTCCCCCGAGCGGAGCTTCGCGCGTCGGGTGCGCGGCTGCGGCTCCCAGGACGCGCCGTGGAAGTGGAGATGGGTCGGTGCCGTGCCCTCGACGGAGGAAGGCGCATGGGTGTTCGTCCGATCCGTAACGCCCTCCGCGCAGGACGCAGTTTGAGCCGGGTTGGGCGCGCGTATTGGTGGGGCAGGCTGCAGCCCAGAACACGGGTGTTTGGATGAAGGTTCGGACTGCATGGGGAAAGGTAGCACGAATGCAGAGGGTGCGGGAGTACCTGCATCGGGAGGCTCTGCAGGATGCGTTGGGAGGCCACTTCGTTCAGGCTCCTCAGTAAGAGGATCTCGTTTCTCGGGGCGTAGCCTCCCTACCGATGGGACAAAATTCACAGCATCCGTAGAAATTGGGTAGTTTTCCACTCCGGACCGAGCCACACCCTCGTCGGGCGCAGATGCACTCAGGAAGCATGTGCCGAGTTCCACTTCAGCTGCGCCATCTTCATTTGCCGACTCGTCATCCGAGTCTTCGACCGCGTCTACTGGCTGCCAACTCGCGGGCCGAAGTCGTGTCTTAGGCCTCACTCCCGGACTAACGTACTGTAAGTATTCAGCAGTAAACAGGCGATGAGCGGACTCAAAGACTCACCTCATGATCTCCTTCTCTTTAACTCTACTGCGCCCCGGAAGTGCAGCATTCCAAGGGGCCCGGGGCTTCCAGGTGATCCACGGACGCCCGACCGACTCGGAAGTGATAGTGCAATGGGGGGTAGGAGAGACGTCGGCGCACCCGCCTTCGATGTCTGCTTTGGAAGCGCTTGAACCAAACGCGTCACAGCGGGCTCGTTTGCAGGGGAAGGTGAAGTACGCGGTAGACTCAGGCTCGGATGAGTTCCGCTTCATCGCGCGACTGACGCGTCTTGTAGCGAAGGTGAGTGCGATACACTAGAGGGTAGTTACTGGGAATAGATAGGAAGTGACTGCGTCCGGAGCGAAGACACGAGACGATGGCACTAAGTGAGTCTTCAGGAAAGTGAACGCGGAACAAATGAGACTCAGACAGCCACCGACGCGGTTTGATACGGTCAGGTGACATGTGGCCGGTTCGCGTTTCAGACGCGCGTTAAATCAGCCACCATAATCATATCAGCCTGGAGCCACTGCATAACATCCATGCGACGAAAACAGAGTACATAGCGTAGGTAGATTTAACACGAAAAACATACTGTCCATACAATATAGTCAACCACCAACCGTCAGTACGATGGTCCCGTACTACTGGTAGTATTTCAAGCCTCCTCTGCAAGCCCCGGGCCGCGCTCAGGCCATCAGGAACTTGCGCAATCTGTCTGACGGCCATCTCAGAGGCTTCAGAAGCCTTCAGAAGCCTTCAGATTGCTTCAGATTGCCTCAGAGCATCAGCCCTCATGACCTCGATTTCTTTCGATCCTAACTCGTCAGACAGGATCCTCAGAACACTCAGACAGCATGTCAGACTACTCAGCTCGTCAGCTCGTTCAGCCAGGACACAAGAAATCAATGAAATCATATATTTTGTATTGTATTCATTGCTACTGCTGTACAAAAGAACACGAGCTACTACTGTCGAGTGGGTTCACACATGTATCGGGCTCGCTCCCACTCGTCGTGTTCGTACTCGGTGCCCTGGCTCCTTCTCGTGCTGGGATACGGCACGCTCGTCCTCCACGAGCCTATGCACGTCGAGCTGAGGCATGCCGGGCTGTTGCTCGGCGGGCCCTTGCACGCCGCGCCGGGTGCCCCGGTGGACCTGTCGCAGTCATGGTCATTTAGCTGGATCGTACCGGGCTTGGCGAACTAGCCCGCGTCGTACCAGTGCGCGTCAATTCGAGATCAGTATCCGTAGGCGGCCGGCTCTTCGATGCTGTTGGGTCCGTGCGCGGTATGTTGAGGCTCGTCAGATGTGTGCCTGTTGGGTTTACGCTAGCGGGCTTGTGTCGTCAGCTGGTCGCGCACCGTCAGGATTCACATGTACTCACACCTCGTCCGCGTCAATATCTCGTACTTCGGGCCATGCGCCTCGTCCCAGTGCTGTACGTCGAGGTGGCGCAGCGTCCGCGGGATGAGGAACGTGCGTGTCGACTATCTGTCGGGCTCGCATGCACTAGGCTTGGTGAGCTCGCACTTGCTGGTGGGTCATTGCTCGGCGGACTTACGCGGAGCGGAACTGGGCGGGCTGGCACTCGCTCGGCTCGGGCTCGTCAGGCTGGTGTCAGTACAGCGGGCGGGCCATGCTCCTCCTCGCTATGTTCGTGCTCGAAGCATATACCCTTCTCGAGCGTGCACATGACAGCTACGGCCGAGCATGGCTATACCCAGGCTCGACCCGGACCGTCCCGGTACAGACCCGCCACAGCGGGTACGGGTGCTGCGCGGGTCAGTGGGTCTGGGGGGTCATGTACGGGTCTGTATGGGCGGGCGGGACGGTGAGTGAGCGACACGGCAGGTAAGTAGGGCAGCGAGAGGGACACACGTGAGAGGGACGACAGGGGGAGCGAGACAGTGGGCGCAGGACGGCAGGCGAGCAGGACAGCGGGCGATGGGGGCGACAGCGGGTTCAACAACAGGCGAGGAGAGCGGCAGGCGCGTGTAGCGGCAGGCGAGTGGAATAGCGTGTGAGCGAGACGGAAGGCGAGCGGGTGGGCGAGCTAGGGAGAGGGAGAGGGCGAAAGCGGCTGACCGAGTCGGCGAGCGAGCAAGTTGGCAGAAAACCCAGTAAGGGGGGCGTGCCCGTCCTCAACAAGCCTATGCACGTCGGCTGGGGCATGCCAGGTTGATGCTCGGTGGGCCCTTGCACGCCGAGCTAGCCTTGTTGTACCAGTGCGCGTTGTATCGGTATGCGCTTGCACTTGTTGAGTAACGTGCGCCGGGATTGTCTCCGTTGTGTTCGACTCCATCCACTTGTCCTTGGTGGGCATTCTCGGAGTGGAGATCAAAAGCAATGTACTCACCTGATTCGTTTGTCCTGCTGGTCACAACCCGCATTCCTCCCTGCATTCTAGCCCTTCGCGAGCCTCCAGCGACGCTCTTCGCGCGTCGCTGGGGCTTGTTGCAGTCGCGTACAGCGCGATCTTGAGCCGCGTATTGGTCCGATGCACACGCCGTCTCTTGCAGACGGGTCCACAGGTGTGTACTGAAGGTCGGCGGTGGGCAAGCAGGGCGAAGCAGACAGGGAGGAGCGGGCTGACAGTGAAGGCGGACTGTGAGACTGGCAGTGGAGAGTCGAAGCCCAGCGACCGCGCGTGACGTGTCGTGGCTGAGGCGCTTAGCACTTCTCTCTCGAGTCGCAGTCCCACGTCGACGCCGACTCTAACGTTCAACGGTCAACGTCAAGACTGCACGGTAGCGTCGAAGGCTCAAAGCTCGCTCACGCAAAAAGAGACGGAGAAGCGAGGGGAACACGGAACTAGGGGAGGTGGACCACGGAAGGGAGATGCTTCTCATGAGTGACTCGGGCACTGACAGTGACGGTGAGTCTTCTCCCATCCGCGCATGCCCAAGCTTCAGCTTCAAGATCCAAGTCCCGTCCCCATCGTTTAAGACGGGCCCTGCTCCCCGTTCGCGCGCCGACTACCCCGGCCTTCGTGGACCTCTGCGGAAATGATTCCGTCATACCCCCTCGCAGCATCTCCAGCTCGACCTCTGACCAGACGCTCGATTGAGGCCACGCGCACGTTCTCATCCTCGTGCATGGCAGTGCGCTCACGCAGCTCCAGTCGCCAGGCACACCATGCTCGTCGCGATGCCCAAATACATAGTGCACGTCTTGAATGAGCGAAATGACGGGGCCTCGGAATTGCGGCTGCCACCCTCGCGGAACCGCTCCCAGTCACGCAATAGGTCCGTGAACGGGTACTTCGCGACGATCACGGACAACTTACAGGTGAGTGCGACGCCCGCCCACTTCCGCATTCTCCTGCCTGCTCGCCTGCCCACGCCCGCTCTCTTGCTAGATCGCCTCCACATTCACCCACCCACTCGTCCGCACGCTCATCTGCCCACTTGCCTGCCCACCCGCCAACGCTGCCTCTCGCTCACGCTGCCTTTCGCCCACGCGTTCGCTCTAGCCCACAATCCCACCTGACCGCTCGCCTGCCCACCCTTTTGCCCACTTATCCCGCTCCCGCTTCCCTTGCCCTCGCTCCCGCTTACCCGTGGACGCGCAATCCCGCTTCACCCACGCGAAACCTGTACCCGGGCGGCTTATAGGTACGGGTCGAGCTCGGGATACCCATGGGTATACCCGTGCTCGACCCGGTGACGGTAACGAACCCTAGCCCGCAAGAACTCGCCCAGGACAACCCCGCAAGCGACGACCCGACTGCGGATGCACCCAGCAGGCAAGTACTCACCTATGATGACCCCGCCCAGCAAGAGGGCGTCCGAGGACAAGCCCGCCAAGGATAGTTGTGCCCAGGATGAACGCGACTAGGCGCAAATTACCTGTGTCCGCATTGACGTGTTGGCAATGCGTCCGAACATGACGCGCTCTGTCGACGGCCGCGCTAGCCCGCGAGAGGGGTCGGGGTGTTGGTCAATCGGACCAGCATGGTAGGTGAGTTGGCTGCGACTCGTCAGCTCCGCGCGAGGCTGACCCCAGCAAGCAAGAACCTACCGACAACGACACCCGCGAAGACGAGCGCGGTAGACACCAGCCCACAGAACATGCGTTCAACGAGCACCAGGGTCCAGCGGAATGAGCGAGAGCTGGTCGAAGATGAGCCCGGCAAGCAAGAGCATGCAGACAAACCCGCCGGCGGCCCGTGAGTGGGATAGCAGACGATGCAACCGGGATGGCAGACGAGATGGCAGACGGCACGAGAGGGTGAGTAGATGGGGCGGGCAAGATGGCAGACCGGTCGAGAGAGGGTATACGGGTGGGCAAACAATGCGGGTGAGACAAAAGAGAGAATAGGCGGTGCGACTCATGAGCCTTTGTCGATGGCGACCATCTACTTTAGTGTAATTACCCACTATATGTTCTCTATGTACAATACTCTCGAGTCATCGTGATATTATCAGAATTGAATCAATGGTGTCGCAAATGGACAGATTTCTACAACCTCGTCGGCTCATTGACCTCAGGCTATCTGACAAGTCTGAACTACTCTGAGGATTCTGAGCTGTCTGATGCTCTGAGTCACTCTGAGGGGTCCCTGTCAGCTTCTCAGATGCTCAGAAATTGCCCAATTTGCTGATGCAGACTGCATTCCCCGGCGCGGACGGCTCACTCAGCTTCAAGCCTCCCTCTCATCGCTGTGTGAGCCTTGGCCGCGCGCAACGCGAACACTCTTCTCCGTCTGTTCTATCCCGCCTTGCTTCGCCTTGAGACGCGCGCTCGTCCGTTTCGCCGGTGAGCTCTGAGGCGTCTTGGCCTTGGACCGCGGCTTGCGACTCGGCGTGGCCGGCGGAGGAATGGTCAGCGCAGAGCTCTCACCCACAGGCAAGGCCATCCCACTGGCGTGATTGGAGACAATCGGGTTGGTCCGTGTGTTGAGGTCTGGAGCAGGAGCAAGGTCATGGTCTCGAAACTCCGAAGGAGCTCTCGAGGCAGCCCTCTGAAGCAGCCGGGGATCTATGCACCGTTCGTCCCTGTGGCTCGGAAATGAATTGGCGGCCCTCGCAGATAATCCACAACTATACTCACCTGGCTTCGGCTGGACGAAACATCGCTTGCGGGCCACTGAAAGCGAGGAGAGCAAAGTTAGCTAGGCTGCGAGACAACTCATCGCAGAGCGCGGGGACTCACTCGTCTGCCTCATCGGACATAGCGTCGACTGTCTCGAGGAGCTCCCTGCGAGTACATGCATACGCAGACATGAGCTCGGGCGTAGTGACCGGGACTTTTTTGTTGACGAAGTATTCCACAGACATGGCAAGCCTGAGCGATGAGCAATGACGACTGAATACCGAGAAGATCCCCTCAGCGTGCCTTTATAAATGCACGGTTCAAAGCCACGCGCGAGGCCATGGCCATCCGTGGCCACAGTTCCCGCTTTGTCGTCGCCATGATGGTGTGGTTCTCGAGCTTCCATATAAAGGATTTCTTTGTCTTTGGCCACAAGCCACGCCGCCTGGTCGATCTGTGGCTGAAAGGCAATTCTATAATTAGATAATGACCATAGTCAACTAGGACGTGTGCAACGGAGGGACGGCGTAGTGGCACCGATGTCATGGAAACGAACGAATCTTGTGCTCACACCGACTCGGAAACAGGCACGGCGTCGTCCGACGACTGGCCACGGGCAAAGCAACTAAGCATCCCCTGTTGGAGTGAATAGGTACATTGCACTTGCTTGTCGAAGTGAGAGGCTGCAAACCGCCGCCTCCATGAGCTGCGTCTGCGGTACCTGGATTTGATCGGGATACTGTACACAGGTAAGAACTTCTCATAGGATACATGGTTCGGCACCGGCCACACCATCATCGTTCGGCTTTTAGAACTGTCTTCGATACAGCGTCTTCGAACGACCTCATGAATTCGGGATCCATGGTGCTTGACGTGATCTGAATGGGCCCGCTAGGAGCACCGGGGCTATGGGTATTAATGATACGCCCCGGGCCACGAGGAGCCCAGTCTGAGCCGTCCTCGCCGGTGTGCGTGTCAATCTCTTCAGTTGGCTCTTCCTGTTTCCCTTTCCGCGCATCGCCAGTTTTTGGGTCGCCGATCCTGAAGAGCGCGAGCGCCTCCGCCTTATCCTCTTCTGAGATCTTGGGACCCTTCCTACCCGAGCCGGGCTTACATATGGCCTTGTGATTCGGCCAGTCCTATTGGGGAACACGTCAGGCCTGGCGTACAGCATGACCAGGATATTGGACCCCGACGTACCTTCCTCTGACATTCCGGGCTGCAATACGACGGCTTGAGGTCCGGTGGGCAGCGTCCCCCGCAAGCCCGCAGCACAGCCTTCCTCGCCCCGCGAAGACCGCACCCCTCCGCGGCACACACGTACGCGTTCGGGTGCTTGTCGATCTTGCGCTGGCGCTTCCGTTCCTCTGCGTATACTTCTTCGAGACGTCGTGCGGCGGCGCGCCACAGCGAGCCGTAGCGCTTCTGGACGTCCACTCCCAGCGTCTCGGCGATATCGTGGAGCTTGAAGCCAATCACGAGCACGACAGGGGAGACCAGTCCGAGGTTGACGCTGTCGTCGGCGTGCTGTGCCGCGAGCATGAAGTACGCAAGGGGCGACAGGCCGGTGCCCATGCGCATGGCCTCTGGGCGGGCGAAACGCTTCTCGTCCGCTTCGATGGCTGCGCGGTCGGAGCGAGATACAAGGAACTTGCTGTAGTGGGCCTCCGCGGCGAGTGAATGAGCTTGGGCCATCATCTCACGAGACGCGCGGTCTCCGACGTAAACCGAATGTTCATCAGAGGGGTGGAAAAAGCCGTCGAGAACGTAGAGAGCACCCTCGAAGCTCTGTACGCGCACTCCACATCCGCTCAGATACCTTGAGGAAGAATGGTCAGGGCAGGCGATTCCGGAGTCCCAACTGACACGGCATACCTGAGCGCGAGGTCGAGAATGAGCCCCGGATCTCCACAGCACATGTGGTCGAGCAGGGCAGGAGCTTGCCAGCGCGTGAGGTGCTCAGAAATATCCTTCATGTCTTTCTCAAAATTGCGCTCGGCCGCGGCGCGGTGGCTGTAGAAACAGGAGGACTTCAAGCTTTGATATTTCCCCATGTTCTTGTACATCACTATGTTTGGGTCGAGCTTCCGCAGGCTGACTGTGACGCTGTCCAACATGTCTCCGAGTCTGCGTCGCCTTCAATGAGTAGTGCGATGTCGGGTAGGGACGAGGTGGAATATGTCGAGAGGAGTAACAGGGCGACAACGGTGCACGGACCCAGCACCAGCACGTCGCTGTGACGTCGTGCATTGACAGCTGCTCGTCCATCGGTGTTTCCAGTGCTATATCGGGGCAGGATCTGAGCCTCCCTACCGATCTTGTTAATATCACGGTTCGACTGGCAACCTCCGTTTCCAACCTTGAACCTACACTCTGTTAGTTAGTTTTTTCTATTTGAGGTCAATGGGGGGAGGATAGTCCATGTACAAAGTTCGGAGCCGTGTTCTGTCACAGTGATTGAGATTGCTTTGGTTCTGGTCATAGGACATGACTTCGTCGATTTTGTGAGTCCGTACCGTGATCGAATCATGGTCATGATGCATGAAGAACCAGAGAATGTGGAACCCAGGGAAAGAATACAAACGAATTTGATTGCAAACCCTCTATTGGTGTGGGGAGCGTCGCCAGCGAATCGCGTGCAGTACCTGGCGCTGTAGAGACAGGGTCGATCGCGAAGAGAGATTTCAAGGTCTACTCGCTGAGATGGGCATACTGCAGGAGTTTAAGAAGACGAACTATACATGATATGACCGGCGACAGACTCACAACTCAGCGTACCATCTTCGACAGCTCATCTCTGAACGACCTCATGAACTGAGGATCCATCGTGTTCGACGTGATCTGAATGGAGCCACCAGGAGCGCCGGGCGCGGGGATGTCGATGATACGTCCGGGGCCGATAGGCGTATCCTCACTCGCGTGCGTGCTGATCTCCTCAATGAAGTCTTCCTCTTCCTCCTCATGCGCATCGCCGTCCTCCGGATCGCCGAGCTCGAAGAGTGTGAGCGCCGTCCCCTTGTCGTCATCAGAGATCTTTGTAACCTTGCCATCTGAGCCGGGCTTGCAGATAGCCATGTGCCTCGGCCAGTCCTGTCGTAAGCACGTCGGATCAAGTTACTTCTCGCGTCACCCATTGATGCCCGCAAGGCGTACCTTCCTCTGACATTCTGGGCTACAATAAGACGGCTTGATATCCGGCGGGCAGCGTCCCCCGCAAGCCCGCAGAACAGCCTTCTTCGCCCCCCGAATACCACACCCCTCCGCGGCGCAAACATACTCATTCGGGTTCTTGTCCACCTTACGCTGTCGCTTCCGTTCCTCCGCGTGGACCTCCTCGAGCCGCCGCGCGGTCGCACGCCACAGCGGGCGGAACCGCCTGCCCCGCTTGACGATCTGCTCGACGTCCGCCCCCAACGCGTCGCCGATGTTGCGAACCCTGAAGCCGACAAGGAGGACAGCAGGGGAGACGAGTCCGCGCTTGGCGCTCTCGTTGGCGTGATGCGCTGCGAGCACGAAGTACGCGAGGGGCGACTGGCCGACGCCCAGCCGCTCGGTCTCCGGGCGGGCGAATCGTCGCTCGTCAGCTTCGATGTCCGTCCGCTGGGAGGGAGACGCGAGGTATTTGTCGAAATTAGCGCTGGCAGCGCAGGAGTGAGCCTGTGCAAGCAGGGCGGGAGGCGCGACGTCGCCATCGTAGCGCGCGGGCTCGCAGGAGGGGTCGAGGAAGGAGTCGAGTACATAGAGGGCGCCTTCAGAGCTCTGCTTATGCACCCCGCAT